CCCCCCCCCCCAGGCAGCACCACGCTGCCTGTGTGCAAGGTGATGCCAGCAGGGGGGCAGCTGCAGCAGGCCTGGATGCCCCCAGCCCTTGTGCCCCGGGGGGGGTGGCATCACTCACCTGGGGCTGCCAGGTCTCTGCCTCGGGCTGAAGCTGCTGCCTGAGGCTGCTCGGCTCTGGTGTTGCCTCCTCTGGTCCTGGCAACTCTGCACAGGGGCCCTCAGGCTGGCCCAGAAGTGCAGAAACCTCCCCGGATGTGCCACATTTTGGCCACTCTCTCACTGCCAGAGGGACCACAACATGGGACAGGCCCTTCCTGCTGGCCCTGGACACCCTTCAGTCCTGGGGGGCACAGCCAGGGATGTCCCCCAGGCCTGCCCAGGGCACCTGCAGAAGTGCCCCAGGGCCCTGCCCCCCCCAGCAGCACCCACCCCCCTCCACAGAGCGCGGCCACAGCGCTGCCTGCAGCCCTCACCTGCGCTGTCGTGTGACATACTGCCCGCAGCCTGGGGACAGTGCCCGGAACCAGAACCTGGTGACCTCATGCTGGGAAACTGCTCCTGGTGCCAGTGCATCCCGGGAGCCCCATCCCCCCACGTGGCACTGCCGTACGTGTTGAGCCTTGTGGCACCCCCGTGCCACGGCCAGGCCTCTCCAGCCTGGCGCTGTCCTTGCACCCCCTTGTCGCTGTGCTGCACCCCCTTGCACCATCCTGGAGACATGCCCTGGCCCCGTTGCTGGCCCCAGGATGTGCTGCTGCCAGGTGCCGTTGTGACACGGCCGTGCGCCAGGGACACAGGCACAGCCCCCTCCGCTGTGCTGCCCAGAGCCACACCGGGTTCTCAGAGGAGCTGTTGATCACATCGGCTGAGGCTGCTGCTCCATGTTTCTCCCTGTCCAAAAGGGTAAAAATAACAGGAACAAGTTGTCGGAAATGAAATTTCAATTTCTCCACGCCCTTCCCTGTCCATGCAGCTTCCCAGCACAGATCAATAGTGTTTAGACAGCCAAGAAAAAAAAAAAAAAAACCCAAACCCAAAACCCTCTGCTTGTGTGTGTGTGCTACAGTAAACGTGCACAAATGGGGCATGGGGCCGCCTGAACGGCGTGAGGGCAGAGGTGGGGGGGTGGCCAGGCAGCGTGGCCCCACAGCCCAGCACACCCTGTGGGGCACACCCCATCAGGGCAGGCCCCGCGCGAGGCTCAGTGTGACCCAGAAGCTTCTTGGGGCGAGCAGCGGCCGTGGACGGAGAGAGGCTCTGAGGATGGAGAGAGAGAGGCTCTGAGGATGGAGACCAGCCTGGCTGCCAGCCCTGCTGTGGCTGCGGGAGTCGACAGAAACCCAGATGGGCAGGAACACGCACCGCAGCGAGGTGCTGGGGAGCGGGCAGGTGGATTCCCCAAAGGGAAATGCTACCATGCACCCCCACAGGGAATTGTCACCCAGGGCTTTTAGGAAAATGATCGTCTGGGGTGCAGGGGCTGAACTGGTGCTGGCAGGAGGAATCAGTGTCCAGCCTTGGCAGGCAGAAGCCTCCAGCCATTCCCGGGGCGCAGGAGACCTGCCCCGTCCCGGCGGGCCGCCCGCAGCAGGCGGGAAGCGCTGGGTACCACTTGCTGCCCAAGGGCTGGGCATGATGGTGACCAGCCGGAGAGGCAGGTGAGTGTGCGGCACTGCAGCCCCATGAAAACCAGTCCCCAGAGGCACAATGCTGGTGGGGATGGGCTCGCTGGCTGGTGAAGTGGGGACTGCGCTGCCTCACGTGTGGCTGCACCGGGGGGGCCCTGGGCACAGACCTGCCTGCTCCTGACACAGGGCTCCCAGGGCTGCCACCCCTCGCTGGCGCTCAGTGCAGTTTCACAGGTAAGTATTTGAACTGGAAATTTCCAAGGCCAAGCTGGGCCCAGAAGGGGAATGCAGATGTACCATAATAGAAATCATCCGTTGCCATGACGACCCGCTCCACCAGCGGGTTGCAGCCACAGGCGGTGGGAGCGGGTGCAGCACCAACAGTCCTGCGAGCAGGGCCACTTAACCCCCACCGTGCAGAACGCCATTGAATTTAGCCCTAATTTCTGCCAGTGCAAGGGAACAAAATTTCCCTGCAGATTTCAATCTTGTTCAGGCAGTGGCAGCCAGGGCAGAGCCCCCGCAGGGCACGGAGCCTTCACGGCTGCCCTCCGTGGCCTTGGTGCTCCGTCACGGCCTTATTGCTGCTTTAATTAAAGCCCGTTGCCCTCCCCGGGCAGTGCCCTGCACATCGCACATGCCGGGGCTCTGCCCAGCACACAGCAGCTCGGCATCGCTCTGCTCTCCTGCAGCAGGACGTGCCTAGAGCTGCAGCCCGCAGCTGCCGGGGCCTTTGCCACCTCGTCTGCCCTCCTTACCGTGCGCAGCAGCCCAGGCTGTGGCTGCTGCCCGGCTGGTGGTTGCAGTGCTGTGCTGCGCTGTGTGAGCTGTGCTGCGTGTGCCACACTGTCCTCAGCTGTGCTGCGCTGCACAGCCCCAGCCGCGGGCTCCCAGCGCCGGGGAGCTGTGGCAGGGCTGCGTGTTGGGCCAGTGTCACCGGAGGTGGCTCTTGGCTGCCTGAGCCTGGCACATCTGCCCACGGCCATGTGCTGCTGATCTGCTGCCCCGGGCTGGCGGCTGCGGGGTCGTGGCCAGGACAGACCTTGGCAGGGCTCAACCCGCTGCAGCTGCCATGAGCCTGTGGGGCAGCCCCACAGCCCGGCCCCATTGCTCCGCGCTCGCCTGGTGCTGGACAGGGTGGCCCAACTTGGCTGGGAGTCGGCACCACATAGTGTTGGCGGGGG